AATAAGTAGAAGAAGAAATAAAAAGGAAAAAAGGTACACACCAAGATTATTTGTAGTCAGAGGACATATCAAGGCCACTAAAGTATTGAATTATTAACTTTTTGAAGTTGCTTCTATTCAGTCTAGCTTTAACACCTGGAATCGAGTTCCACAGTCTTACAGCGCTAATGAAAAACAGTCGACTGAAAGTAAGCGAATTATACTTAAGGACAACCAAGCTGTTATGTCTCTGTGATTTGGTTAGTTGAAGCTTTTCATACAAATTTTGCGGGACTTTCCACTCTAACAATTTATACAAAAAAATGCAGTTTCTTGCAGCCAAAAAATTTATAATACTGCAACCAAGAATTTTATCGCGCCATGGCGATTTATGAGCATATCGTCCAATGCCATACACATACCGTGTTACGTTATTGAAAGCTACATTCAACTTGCTGACTGACTTTGAATCAAGTTTGCTATAAACTATTTCGGAATATGTGAAATGGGGCAAAATTAACTGCATAGCAAGTTTGCGTCGTGTTTCCTGAGGCGTAAACGAAGCAGACATTCCTAGCCTACGTAAAGTTACATACACATTACTTACTACTTTATTAACATGATCACAACAGCTTAACTTATTATTTACAATAAAGCCTAAGTTCTTAATTTTCTCAGTGGTCATGAGGGCGGCTGTACCAATCCACAGAGGTGGGATGTTGGTAGGGTCTATTACACTTTTACATATAGGCATGACATACGACTTAGCAGCATTTAAACATAAAAGATTCCTCTGCGCCCAACACAAGATACCGGACAGATCACTATTAACCTTATAACATATATCCTCGACGAGACCTATACGATTCGAAAGGTACAGCTGAATATCATCAGCATACGCATGGACATTTACATATTTGCACACCGAAATACATCATTTACAAACATACTAAACAATAGAGGACCAAGGATTGATCCCTGAGGGACACCTGCTTTGATAGCTTTGAACTGTGAAGAAACATTCTCACCTTTAACTCGTTGAACTCTGACCTTAAGATAGCTAGACAAAAGTTTTATCGCACTATTAGAGAATGCAAAGTAGTGCCTGAGTTTCCGACATAGCAAAGAGTGGTTGACTGAGTCAAATGCCTTAGAAAAGTCTAAGAGGCATAGAATAGTTAGATCTCCATTATCGTACGGCATTCTAATGTCATCCAAAATTTTAACCATAGCAGTGGCACAGCTATGCTTGGGTCTAAACCCAGACTGCAAAGGAGAAAGCAAATTATTTTTTTGAATGTACATGGAGATTTGGTTAGCCATCAAAAACTCACACGCTTTAGAAAATGCTGGTAAGATACTTATAGGCCTGTATTCACAAGGGTTCGACGCAAGTGGTTTTTTAGGAATAGGCAAAATAATTGCTTTTTTCCAAGCATCTGGAAAACGGCCACTAGAGAAGCAATGTTTTATTATATGGGTAAGAGTACTTATAATAAATGGGAGCACGATTTTAACAAATCTTAAATATATTCCATCATTTTTGCCTTTAGTACATCACATTCACTCACGCAGAGAAACGCAAAAGAATCTAAAGTTATACAAGCATCTAAAGGGGTATCATCAGAGATAGTAGAGTTACTGCAGTTTTCCGAACCAATAAAAAGGTCATTTAACAGATCAGGGTGAATTTTGCACTGCACTTTATTTTTCCCATGTATGCTTAAATGCTTCAAGTTGCTCCACAATTCTTTAGATGGGAGAGAAGGATTCAGTTTTTGTTTACAATACCACCTTTTAGCTTGTTTAATGATAACGGTGGCTTCATTTCGCGCGGTCTTGTACGCATGCCACGCAGTATCAGTATTCGACCTTCTTCATTTGGCATGCAACTTGTTGCGTTTCTTTATAGCGAAACTTACTTTTTTATTAAACCAAGGGCAGGATGTATTAATAACGTTTGCAGTACGGACGGGGACATGACGATCAAAAAGGGTAGTTAAATTATTATTAAGGCATTCGAGCTTCTTGTCTACCGTTTCATAATACCAACATTCATTCCAATGAATAGAAGAACAATCAGAGAACAATGCACTATTATCTAACGAACGAAAATCACGATACGAGAAAGCAACACAAATTGCAGAACGTTCTAACACTACATCAACAGTACAGAAAATTAAATCATGGTCAGATATAAAAAATAGTTGGTCAAATTTAATAATATAGGTCAGGTCAGAGATAATAAAATAATCTAAAAGGCTAGGCCTAGAGTTGTTTGCATATCTAGTAGGCGCTAATTCATTAACAACGAATAGCCCAGATGCTGAGATTTGATCACGCAGTTTGATACTACTAGAGTCATTGACAAGTAAATTAACATTAAAATCACCACAGATAATAAAACATTCATAATCTATTAAAAATACAGACAATTCAGCGAAGAAACAATCTAACATGAAACATTTGTGTGGATTATACACACAAGAAATCAAAACTTCGGTTATACCGTCGGAAACCTCTGAAATTATAAATTATGTATCAGAACCTGCAGACTTTGCAAGAAGCTTGATTTTAAGATATTTCTTGCAGTATATGGCCACACCGCCCCCTTTTTTGTGCTTACGATTGTTCAGAATCACATTATAATTGTTGATGCAGCAATGAAGGTCAGAAATAAGATCACTAAACCATGTCTCAGAAACACAGATAATGTCTACTAAAGACTGCTCAAATATGTATCCATAGTCCATTTTATCAGAACTCAGGCTTCGTGCATTAAAATGAACTATGTTAAGACCAGTCGACTGTTTACACAAAATATCTAACATAAGCTTATGGTTTCCATCAGCGCCATATGCTTGTTTAACAGTCATGTTAAATTAATTACTTTGCACTGGACTGAATAAGAAACAACTATGTAAACACAAAAAAACAAAAGAACAAATATATACATATGTGTGCATTAGGGCGGGTAAATTTTTTTTCGACATCGTTCAAAGCAGATTCGGATTCTACATAAAATTCTAAGAAAAAAAGTCCTTTAGACCATTGCTCTAAAATCAATTTCGAGCCTGCGCATTTTTAAAAGAAGGTATCTTTAATTAATACTAAGTCAATATGCAGATTAATATTTACTAAAGTGTTACGAATGTTTTTTATTTTATAATAAAAACTTGTGCTCCGGAGTTTTGTGATATGAAAAATTAATTTCTGATATCTATTTTTGATTTAAAGAACCGCAAGATGGCGCTTCAAAGCAAATCTACTATATATTTGTGGAAGTATGTATGTATGTATGTGGTAGGTTGCAGCCTAAACGGATGGACATAATCGAACAAAATTTTGACAGAGTATTACCATGGCTCCTGGACCTATAATAGGGTAAAAAAAATTGGGACTCGCAAAGGGGTGGGATCTGGTTTCACCTCCCACCTCATAGGCGTAAAATTTTGAATTAACTCTAACTTCGGAATTATAGTCACATGAACTCGAAATTTGAAATGCACAGATACCTATGGTAGGTGCTTATAGAAAGGTATATATAAATGAGTTTGTGAAAGGGGGCGTGGCACATCCCATAGGTGTGGAATCTTTTATCAGCTATAACATCAGGCAGTATTAGTGATCTCAATGAATTGGATTTTGAAGATTCTTTATAATTGATCAACGTGAAATTCAAATAAATTATAGATGATATGAAGTTCACCGGGTCATCTTCTAGTCTTCAAAATATATATTAAGTTAATATACAGATTAATATTTACTAAAGAGTTATGAACGTTATTTTTTTAATACATTAAGAAAAAAATAACTATGATTTAAATGAGTGACACACAATGGCTAGAGTCGTCGCATGTGTGTATTCTTTCATATACATATATATGGGCCGTTCTTACCGTTATATATTTTTCATCCACTCGCTTATTCCTTACCGAAAATTTTAAATAAAAATTTGACAAGTTTTAACCGCTGATACAGTACAGGTAGCTGTTTAAAATGGGTAACTTGGTAAACTTGACAAAGAAAACATATTCTCTGGTTAAATTAATAAGCCTGCCCGGATAACACAAAATCCTAAGCTTGATAAAAATTTGGTGTTATAAAAGTTTTATAAAACTCTTCTTGTAATTAGGAAAAATGCCGAAAAAATTAGAAAAAGTCCTAGCATTATTATTCAAATTTTATTTTTCCGGCTCCGACGAATGATCAATACATTATAAAAATACACTCACTTACCTAATTTCATCCGGATATCTCGAAAACTGAGAGACTAGATTGCAAAATTTCATCCGCATATCTCGAAAACTGAGAGATTGGATTGCATGCAAACAAACGGACATGGCTAAATCGACTCAGCGCGACGTTCTGATCATATAAGTATACATTTTAGTGGGTATATCTCTTCTTATTCTGGTACTTACAAACATCGGACCAAAGTTATAATACCATTTCATGCTCATGAAAGGTATAACAATAGTAGTGTATTGACGAAGTGGGAGATCTATCCCCCAATCTCCTCCCTGGCTGGTTTAGAGTATTAAAAGTGGCGCGCACAGTGTCATAAAACACTTTTGCAAATTGTGCATAAAAACAGATGGTAGGCGACGTAAACAAAAATTGAAAATATTAGAGGTAGCGAAAAATACAGCTAATTTAAAAATAGTATTGAAAGTGCGCGCGTCAATTTGTAGAAAACTTAATATGATGAATCTGCATCCTGCGTCATATAAATCAGCAAAAAACTCTGAATCAGAGTTACAAGCATTAACTATGCCTCGACCAGATATTATGTCCTTTGGTGAATCAAGTGAATTGAGTGATATTAATTTACCAGATAATGGCAATATTTTACAGTATTATTTTTTTCTCAGTGATCAAGCTAAATCTAGTAGAAAGATGTTCTCATATAAATCGTTTACTCCAAATGTAGTAGACAAATTAACTGAAATTTGGTGCAAATTAAATATTGAAATTATGAGCAGAAATAATATTGTCAAAAAGTTAAATAGATTAATCGATAGTTATCATAAAGATAATAAGTGTAAAAATAGAAGCAAATTCGAATCACTCGTATATTCGTTAAAGCAATTGTTTTACATTGGAAAATGCCAATGTAGTTTACAAACAACAAAATGCTCCTGTGGACTAATTCCAGAAAATCTAACAGAATTCATGTTTGATCAACATAACGAAAGAAAACGTACAATACCAGAATATTTGCCATTTACTTCAGATGAAGTGCTAACAGAATTACCAACAATTGCAACAGACAATGACGATCAAACATATCAGCCAAATACATCAGAAATGCTTATGGATATCGATGAATTACCATCAGCTACACAACAACTTTCTGCAATGAAACGTGGTCCTTATACTGCAAGATACAACATACCAAACTTTGTTATGATGTGCGATAGATTTGGAGTTTCCGACAGAGTAGCTGCATGTATAGCCACAGCACTTCTCGAAGACTTAAACATAAGAGATGAAAAGGGTGATTTTATTATTATGGACAAACGTAAGGTTGCCAGAGAAAGGCTTAAATATAGAGACGTAGTGTTAAGTAAACAACGTATTGAATCTAATTTAAAAGCATTTTCTTTCGATGGTCGGAAAAATGATTCATTAACACAACAAACAATTAATCAAAAATATCATCAAAACATGGTAAAAGAGCCTCATTTAGTAGTTGCAAGAGAACCAAACACAGTATTAATTGGATATGTAGAATTGACCAAAGAAGATGCGGAATCTAAGCAGAAACAATTATTTGAATTCTTTAATAATAAACAAATATCACTTGAACACTTAATTGGCATATGTAGTGATGGTGAACCTGCTAACACTGGAACATATAATGGCGTTTTGCGCAGATTCGAACTTCATTTAAAGAAACCATTGCACTGGTTCGTATGCTTGCTACATTTCAACGAGCTCCCGTTTCGTCATTTATATCAAACATTAGACCAAGCAATTACATTTGGACCTAGATCAACAACTGGAAAGTTAGATAAACAGATCCAAGAATGTGAAACATTACAAGTATGTTTTAAAATATTTTTTTATTGTTTTGTAGTTCTTATAGAAAAAAAAATTATTCGATGTGTGTAAGCTGTAACTATTTCGCTACTAACAAATATTATATTTTATTGTAAACACAGGTTGCAACTGACTTTGAACATATACTACTAGAAAATATGCCTCCTGCTATGGACGAAGAACTTCAGTGTGAATTATCTACGGATGTTAAGTACTTGTACAAAATGGCTAACGCAATTTCCAATGGTGTATGTCCAGCCGATTTGGCTAACATGAAACCAGGACCATCATCACATTCTCGCTGGATAACAAGAGCTAGCAGAATATTACGATTGTATGTGTCAACGAATAAACCAAACCACAATTTGAAGATTCTAGCAACTTACATAATGAAAGTTTATGTTCCAATATATTTTAGTGTCAAGTATTATAGTTCTGTTGTATATGGTAGTGTATTATTATCAAAATTTATACAGTGGACAAGGTTTTTAAGTCCAAATTTGAAGAAAATTATAGATACAGTTGTTCAAAATAATTCATATTATGCACATTCTGAAAATGTCTTACTAGCAATGTTGTTTGATGAAAGAAAAGCCATACGTGACAAAGCTATAAGAAAAATATTGTATTTTCGTAATTATTTGTATAACTCAGGTACCCTAAGAGAGTACAAAAAGCCGCAAATCAATTTCAATTGCACAGAATACATTAATATGATAGATCTATGTAACGATGAAAACATATTAGAACCGCCATTTACACAAAATATTCCTTACGAACATTTGTTGGACTACCTAGAACATGATGATTTACCACTTATAGATCCGAAAATTCCATCACATATTCAAGGAACAGAAAGACATGTTCAATTATTAGCCAGTGTTTCTCGACGAGTGATTGATAAAAACAGAGAGGGAGTTATGGCTATGACAATAGAAAGTAGAAAAAAGATACCTCGTGTTGAAAGTAAAAAGGATCTAAAACCAAAATAAGTATAAATACACTGTTAATCATAAACAAATTTATGATTCGAAAAATAATTTTGAAATATTGTAAAATATTATTGTTTTTGGTTTTTTAGAGTTAAAGTTTTATTTACTTCCAGTAACGAACAAAAGTATTGGCACAGTGAATTTTTTGCAATATAGGCAAAGTTTCTAATTTATTACCGATAATTTTTTATAAAAACCTAGTTCATACTACACCAAAACACATAAAAATCAAATGTCTAAAAATTCAATAAATTTGCACACTAATTTGCAACTTTCTATTCGGATTTTTTACAAAAAATTCCAAGTATGCAGTTTAATAGTCCATTCTATTTTAGTTTAACAAAGTGCAAGTTTGAAGTTGCTTGAAAATCTGAATATAAAATAGCAAATTAGTATGCAGATCTATTGAATTTTCCTGAGTTTTTCACAAAGTTTAGAGATTCTATTTTTATGTTTTATGGTGTAGTCTGAACTATGTTTTTATAAAAAATTATAGGAAATAAATTAAAAACGTTGCATATATTGCGAAAAATTCACTGTGCCAAAACTTTTGTTCGACTCTGTACATATAAAAAAAATACATACAGTAACTTCTCCTGTTACAATAGTAAAAAATTACATACATATATACATATATGGGTGTTTCCAGTGGAAGGTCCACCACGACAAAAAAAATAAAAGTTGTATATCTAACGTATTTACGGGCCGATTTGTCTGCTTTTTAAAATATATACTGGCTATGTAAGTAGAATCATGTTTGCATAAAATGGTCTTCCTAGGTGGTGCCAAGGTCGAGATATTTCGAAAAACCGTATTTATGGTCCGATTTGTTCGAATTTGGCGTATGTGGTTGAAATATAATAAATCATAAATTTCTGATAAATTGACCCTGAATTGGCGCTGAAGTCAAAATATAAAGTATATTCTACATAAAATACATGTTTTTTTTTGCCATTGTGTGTCACTCATTTAAATCATAGTTATTTTTTTCTTAATGAATTAAAAAAATAACGTTCATAACTCTTTAGTAAATATTAATCTGCATATTAACTTAATATATATTAAAGACTAGAAGATGACCCGGTGAACTTCATATCATCTATAATTTATTTGAATTTCACGTTGATCAATTATAACAAATCTTCAAAATCCAATTCATTGAGATCACTAATACTGCCTGATGTTATAGCTGATAAAAGATTCCACACCTATGGGATGTGCCACGCCCCCTTTCACAAACTCATTTATATATACCTTTCTATAAGCACCTACCATAGGTATCTGTGCATTTCAAATTTCGAGTTCATGTGACTATAATTCCGAAGTTAGAGTTAATTCAAAATTTTACGCCTATGAGGTGGGAGGTGAAACCAGATCCCACCCCTTTGCGAGTCCCAATTTTTTTTACCCTATTATAGGTCCAGGAGCCATGGTAATACTCTGTCAAAATTTTTTTTTTCTTTAAATCAAAAATAGATATCAGAAATGAATTTTTCATATCACAAAACTCCGGAGCACAAGTTTTTATTAAAAAATAAAAAACATTCGTAACACTTTAGTAAATATTAATCTGCATATTGACTTAGTATTAATTAAAGATATCTTCTTTTAAAAATGCGCAGGCTCGAAATTGATTTTAGAGCTATGGTCTGGAGGAATTTTTTTCTTAGAATTTTATGAAGAATCCGAATATGCTGGGAACAATGTCGAAAAAAATCGATCCATACAAATTGACCCGCCCTAGTGTGCATATAACTACAAATCATCAGGGCAGGAAAAGCAAATAGAAGTGAAAGAATTGAAAGTGAAAGGAACAAGAAGGGAGAAAAGAGAAACTTGGTAAAACTTAAAACTAACATTACATACAAACAATTTATTGCAGGGCTTAATTGATTTGACAAACAAAACATGAAACTGGCTGCTTTAAGTTGTGCCGACAATTTCATCAATACCTTTCTTGTCGTACACTCGAATCGCCGCATCGCCATCCCTTTTTCGTACAAGCACCTGACCGCGTATTGAAAAAGCAGCTGAGAGATGTTTTTGACGTCTGAGTTGGGCGGCATAGTGCATAATCTCACGGTTCGCTCTCGAAAGGCTTTCATGTATGTGGATGCTTGATGTTACATCAATGATGTACCTTCCACAGCAATGTCATTTAATGCAAGAGCTCTTTTGTTTGCTTTGCAGTAACCAGCTACTGATTTGAAGAGTCTAGTGCGCACATAAGAGGACTGCAGCTTAACAACAATAGGTGACGATGCATTGTCGCTGCTTTGTTTCGTAGCCGGCGCTCGAAATATTTCTCTTACTGCTGGCATCTCATGTTGTACTGCGCTGCAGATGTTAGAGAAAATCTCCACACAACTCTTATTCACAGCGTTAGGTATGCCGTTGATGATCAAGTCAGTAGCAACGGTCTCGTTTTCATACCGAGCCGACTCTCTTTTCAGCGCTAGCACTTCAGCTTTGAGAGAAGCAATCGCCTCACACGTCGATTCCACAGCAGTCGGCCTCACATCCAAGAACTCTACCGTAGTCTTAATACTCTGCATCTCCGCTGAAATCTCATTAAATCTCTGCATCAGTCTCTCTCTTTAGTGCTCTTTATACTCCCACTCAGCTGTTCTATCATGCCCTGCTTTTGTTTTTCCATTTTCGCCTCCAGCTGTTGTAGCCAATGTGCAGTTTGCAGATGCTGTTAAGCCTGTAATCAATGAAACTCTTTTGAGGTCGCAGCAAATGCGCCACTGATGTTCGTCATATTTGATTACTTCCAGAATGTATTTAGTTATTCGTCACCCCGTGCAGACGTGTTTTTCTCAAGCTCGCGGTTATCTTATTACTTAAATTTTTACATTGTGCGATAGTGACACGATTAGTCCTGATCGTCTTGCTTGGACACTTTTAATACTTTATTATTATCATGCCGTGTGGATGTGGTCAAAAAGTTGACCGTAACCATCAACAAAAAATTCAATGTGTCAAGTGCAGTGTAATTTTTCATCTAAAATGTGAAAATCTCCTACCGGCTGATATTCAATACATGCAAAAGTCGAACAAGCAATATTGTTGTAAAAAATGCACCAAAGCGCGCCGAAATTCTATTCCCGCATCTCCTCCTCGCTCAACTACTCCGTCCAAAGATGTTGTCTCGGCTATCAACAACTCCGCTAATTCAGCGACCGCAAATAACTCTCCGCTGCCAGCTACTTCGGTCGCCGAGGGAGCCCATATTTTAACCGATTGCAACAAAGAAATAACTTTGCAGGCTGTTCTCAACGAACTTCGATCTCTTAGATCTGACCATGCAAAGCGAAAAGAAATTGTTGATAAAAAAGTTGAAGATCTGCAGATAGAAGTGCAAGCTGTTCGCCGCAAACTTTGTGATTTTGATGTCGCTGCCTCAATCCCCTCTATTGCTAATGACATAAAAGATATCCGCAACGATTTCAATAAAATGCACGAAGTTATAACTACAGCCTCTGGAAACGGGCAGGCACATGATATACACTCAACGCCGCCACTTTACCTCCTGCTCCACCTACTTCCTATGCTTCTTCTGCTGCTCTTTCTGCTACTGCCATTCGTGCCGTTGATACTCTCGCTGCATCTAACTCACGTAATGATACCAACTCCAACAACCTCTCCTTGCTGCTTTGCGGAATCCCAATGTATACAATAAAGCGAAAAAGCAAATTTCTTCTGCTCCGGCCCCCTCCGCCTTCGTTGTCTGTATCTCCTAACAACCAGCCAGGGCAGTCGGACAACGATGACAATTTCATACCTGTTGTCGCTAGGAATAGAAGTGCAAAACGGAATGCGAATAACACTGTTGTTGGACGCAATTAAAGTCGCGTATTGGATGTAATTGTCAATTTAAAGTGGGTACATTTGTCATATTTTAATACCACTGTGACCGCTGAAAACATTATGAGCTATGTACATGATCACGCTGCTATTCATAAGAGCGATCTGAGATGCTATGCCTTAGTAGCAAACAAATATTACGATAAACTTTTCGACCCATCGCTTTGGCAAGAGAACAATAGAGTACGGCCGTTCTTAAATTTTCCAAGAGAAGAAGAGAAACCGCAGCAGGCCTAGCGAACGCCAACGCTGTTAGTAATTCATCGGATGCTGCAGAATTCCTTCTCTATTATCAAAATGCTGATGGTATAAGAACAAAAATGCTGCCATTGTTGGTGTTTTCATCGTCGGCTCTCTATGATATCATAGCCTTAACTGAAACTTGGCTTTCTGAATGCCTTCATACCGCAGAAATGTTCGATTGCCAAGTGTATAACGTATATCGCAAAGACAGATGTCCCCGCACAACTGGTCTCTCTAAAGGTGGCGGTGTACTTGTTGCCGTTCGTTCGAGTCTACCCAGTAGGCAAATAACTCTGTCCTCTGAAATGAGTTCAGACCAGAGCCGTTTCGATATTGATCAAATTATTGTTAAAATCGTTATAGATAAATTGCATGAATTATTCATTGCAGTAAGTTACATACCGCCATTAAGTCCAATTGAATTGTATAAAATACATACAAGTAATTGTTGCTCGATATTGAATAGTCTAAATGATAATCAAAATATTATAATATTAGCTGACTTCAATTTGCCAAATGTTAAATGGTGGTTTGATGATGACGTTAAGCAATTTTTGCCATATGATGTAACAAGCGAGAGTGATTGTGAGGTACTCGACACCTTTGCTGAGTTTAACCTCTCTCAAATTAATAGAGTTCATAATGACAAAAATCGTATTCTTGATTTAGTGTTTACTAATAATGATCTTAAATCCGACGTCGAATCCCTCTCTTCACCCCCTCTTTCAAACTCTATGCATCACAAAGCACTATGTATACGCTTTGAATTTATAAATTATTTAAAATCAGTTATTTATAATTGTAAGAACTATAATTTCATTACAGCCAAATTCATTGAGATATCACGCTCCCTGAATTCTGTTGATTGGGAATCTGCCTTAGACAAAGCTCTATTGTCACAGGCCTACGACGTATTTCGGAACAACCTGGAAGCGGCAATTGAAAAGTTCGTACCTATGAGGCCAGTAAAAAATTTGTCCAAACCAGCCTGGTATAACTCTAGGCTTATTAATATAAACAACAAGAGAACTAAGGCGTACAAGCTGTATCGCAAATCGAAAGGCAATTTTGAACTTTTTTAAGCCTACAGTAGTTTACAAAAAGAGTTTGACGCTCTGAATAAATTTTTATACCAGAGCTATATACTGAACATTGAGAGCGAAATAAGATTAAATAGTAAACGGTTTTAGCAGTTTGTAAACAGCAAAAAGAAAAACACCGGAACTCCTGATCTGATGCATTATTTGGGTGAATCCTCGACGGACGTTCAAACTATTTGTAACCTGTCTGCCTCCTTCTTCCGCTCTGTTTATGTTCCTCAGTCTGAAACCGGAACAGTCAATAACTTACATAGCAGCACACTTGTGCCTGAAGGCTTACAGCTTTCAGCTGAAGAAGTTCTAGCTGGCCTTTTGGATTTGCCAAATGACCCACATCCTGGAAAAGACGGTTTCCCTCCTACTTTATTAAAGAACTGCGCTTCAGCGTTAGCTCGGCATTTACCATGATGGGGGGTGTTACCCTTCGGCGGGGACAACTTTGCACTTCTTGTTACTTTCTTTTCGACCGACATAATGCGAATAGAATTATTTCAATTTCGAATTATTTCAATTTCAGCGCGAAAAACAACGTTTGCTTAAATGCAGAAAATCAGCGGCAGTTTAACACACAGGCCTTAGCTTGACAAGTATTAAAATCAAGTATTAATCAAAGAAAAGTTGACAAAACCGGCAGCACAATGTTTACACGTCTACTCAGTCATACCGCTCACAATTATCAAAAGCAAAATGTTGAAAATTATTGAAATCGGACTAAAATTACGGCCGCTTTTCATATAAAGGTGAATTTCAGAAATACTTGAAACTGCAATATTTCGAAATTTAAGGACGCTAATTTACTCAAAATTGATACACCTTGGCTTACAATCTAGCGGTAGTTTTCGGAAAGGTGAAAAAACATATATTTAATACTTGCGCCGGGTATTTAATGTTCGGCTCCACCCGAACTTAGACTTTCTTACTTGTTATAGTTAAATTACTGACAAGCTGAATTTCAAGTCCGCTTCTTATGGGTGAAGTTAGCCTTAATGTTCCCTCCCGGGTATCAAGACACTTTTGTCACCTATTTATGAAAGCTTGTAAAACTAATTTTGAAGGGCACGACCCACTCCATTGCTTATGCCAGGCTTTTAGCTCTCATTCCAGCACTTTTGATATATCAGAATTATTAACATAAAGAGATGAAATCAGCTGATGAATTTAGTTATACAGCTGAACAGTTTTAGATTAGAGTGCCTATCGTGACTCGGCGCAAAAATTGAAAATACTGATTTCGTACGTTATGCGGACTGCGCCCCTCATGCGGATGGGCGGGAATGGAGGTTAAAAACCGTTGGGATGATTTTGTTTTTATTGAGCTTTGTACCATGACTGTTTCTTAGGAAAAATTTAAAAAGCAACAAAGTATAAACGGTAGAAGTTATAGCAGTTAAAGCATGCACCCCCCGTAAACTCTTGTTGCAAATTCATTTTCCTTATTCAACCAACTTCTATCAAGTACAGCTGATTTGCCGCTATTTAAACTTGACAGCGTGGTGTTGTCAATTCTATACATCCATTTGCTTATTTGCTTTATAGTATAGTTTCAGGCAGGCTTTTCCTAAACCATGTATTTGTCAATATTATTGTGGCTTATTAACATTTTATTTTTATTGAGCTTTGTACAACGATTATTTATTAGGAAAAATTGAAAAAGCAACATTTAAGCGGTAGAAGTTATAGCAGCTATTTCGGAGATCACCACATCTCCTCATCAGACTTCTTTTTTCTAGACTTCAGCAGGGATCGAACCTGCGTAGTCGATGTGCAAAGTCAGAAGCGTTAACCACTGAGCTATGTACACCCCGTAAACTCTTGTTGCTAATAAATTTTCCTTATTCAACTATTGGGATTATTATTATTATTATAGGAAAATATGTTCAAATAAAAAAGTAAAAAGTTCTACGGTTCGATGTTTGCAACCGATTCGATACAGGAATTCAAAACAAGTATGAAATCAAACCTACAAAAAATTAAAAATTGGTTTGAAAACTACTTGTTAAAAATTAACTTTATGAAAACCAATTTTATTCTCTTCAATAACAACAAATTCCTCCCGAACTTAGATGCATTTCCGGGAATTGTGTTTGAAAACGAGTTTATAAAAAGAGTTAATACCCTGAAGTATCTCGGTATATGGCTTGACACCAATCTCAATTGGAATGAACACATCACAAAGCTGATAGTTTCAGTTGATCCCATTAAATTTTGCTATTTACAGAAATAAAAACAATATTCCCAAAAAACAATTGTGGCTGATATACGAAGCATATTTCATGTCACAAATAAACTACTTAAACCTAATTTGGAAACGGTGTTCCGTGCAAAAGCTAAATGAACTGCAAAGGCTGCAGAACAAAATAGTCAAAAAACATACTGATGCTTCCCAAGCAAACGTCATCTAAAGATTTATATAAATCTAGATTAAATATTAAAAAGATCTGTTTTCTGCAAACTTTAGTAGCAGTGTATAAATTTAAAAATAACATAATAAAACACAATATTGAAATTAGCGCAGCAGAAACAAATTCTTATAACTTTCGAAATCAAACAGAATTGCGTACCGTTTTCGGAACGGAAAGAGGCAAAAAATGTATGCGTAATTATGGCGTCAAAGTTTATAATAAACTACCGGAAGAAATTAGATGTTCAAACCGTATCAGCAAATTCAAAACAAATGTGGAAATATTTTTACTAGAAAACGAAGATCTCGACTGGCAAATATAATTATAAACTTACAATGTATTCGAATTAGAGATGGGCACGGGCCTAAATTTTCAGGCCCGGCCCAGCACGAGTGCAAAATCAACTTTCAAACACACGCACGAGCCGCACGTTAAGAATTTTCGTGAGGCCCGGCCCGGCACGACGGGACACTTCTCAGCCCGGAAATAAAGAGCCAACTGTTATTGTATGTATATGTACATATGTACATATTTTTAATTTTGTGTTTATGTATGTATATTTACTTAAGCGAATAAATTTTTTACATCAAAGATTATTATTAGACAGATATGTAAACAAAACTACTAAGTATCTTATTTTTTCTATCGGTTTCCAAATATTTTTCTTTTTTTCTTTTCTCTTATCTTATGTATCTCAATTAAATTTTTTTACTTACTTATCACGCATACCACAACGCACTATGTATACTTTGAAATAGGTTCAGCTATTTTCTCACATGAAAATTTTTTTTTTGAGAAATACATAGCTTTATTAAATATTTATTTTATCTTATAAAATACATGTAAAATAATAAAGCATTAATAATAAAGAAAAACATGCTATGCTAATATTTCAGCGTTTCAGTACTGATATTTAAATTAATATTAGTGGTATTCATCTATTCTTATAAATTTAAGAGCTCTGTTACATGAACGCCCCATACTCCCTTTTCGTTTACACTTGCGACGGAGCTACATTGGCTTCAGTTTATCAAGATTATTCAGTGAAATCGTTACAGATAATTTAATGAAAACTATTGTGGAAAAAATAACAATAATTTATAAATGGTACAAGTGATAGCTATTTCAGAGATCACCACATCTCCTCATCAGACCTCTCCAGCGGGATTCGAACCGACGACCCCAGCTGACTCAGCCAGTTGCCTACGCATTGTGCTAAGTTCGCCTTGTAAATTGTTGTTGCTTTTTCCACTTTTTAATGTGAGCCAACTACAATCAAGCGCAGCTATTGCGCTACAGTTCTCATTTGATCATGTGGTTGTTGGTTTTCGTTAATAATTCTATTTTTAGAATGTTTAGCTTTTAGGTGTGCTCGTCTTTAAGTTATTTGTTTTTTTTTTTTGTTATTTATGGCCTTACTAGCAAATACCCAGCGTTCTTCGCGACGTAATTTTGCATCAAAGTTAAGGAGAAGCCGTATTGAAACTCAAATGGGAAAACCTCTTCAGGAGAAGAATTTTTCTTTTATTATAGGGCTGCCAGACATCCTGGTTTTCCAGGATTTGTTCAGATTTAGACAAATTTTGCCCTGTTGTCCTGGTCCACACTTAAATTGTCCTGGTTTTTTAATGAAGGTCAATGCAGACACTCCTCTAATTTTTAGCAAATTTTTGCTATGCCATTAGTAGTCGAAAATTGATAACGAAACGTTTTTTCTAACATGTTGAATATCTGGTGAGTTTACCTTCTTTATGTTTAGTTTAGTTGGTTAAAATCTCAATTTTTTCAGGCAAATGCCAAAAGGGTGCAAGTTCTGATCAGGTACTCGGCTGAGGGGTCATACACAAGTACTACCCAGTAGATAATTATTCTGAAAATTATTCCTTTCTCCTTAATTTTTTTTTTTATGGAGCGGCCCAAATTAAAGGGCTTCTGCTTTCGCTACTCACAAAAGAGCTACCAGAAGAGCTTTTGTAGGACGCCTTTTCAAGAAGTTCTTTGAAAGTTTTTCTTAATTCATAAAACCCATACTTCTTTAAGGAATTTATTTAAGGTTCATATTAAATAGTTTTATTTAGACTTAAAATGCTTATTGAATCTTATTTGCAATGCTAGGTAATATAAACATATACTTAGTATATTCGTGTAAATTGTAAATAGGAAACACCTTTGTAGGAAGCATGCAGTCCTTGTTGCGTAAATCTTTTAGAATGGCTTCACTTAAGACATTCTGCCTAAATTATCTTCAGGTTATGCATATAAAATTTCGAAAAAAGGATCATGAAGCGCGTTGTAAGATATGCGGAAATTCGATAAGGGTGGTAAGGCAAACATTCAAGACCACGTTAAAGGCGCCGCTTTTCCAAGTTACGTCACCGTCAGCAGAAATTTGTTCTTTTATAAAAAAAAATCCAGAACTTGAGCGATACATCATCATCAATCATCATTCGGATTGTGCCACAAAACTACATTGCTTATAATATCAGAACCAAAGCAACTGTACTTATTGGGAATATATTGCCCCATATTCACTTGTATTTTCGTTTTTGATTTGCATGATAAGTGTCCTGGTCGATGAGTTCAGGATTATGGCAGCCCTATTTTATTAGTATTCATAATTCATCTGGCCGGCCATTGTAACCCTAGTACATATAATTTGTTGTAATCGATTGGCAATAATAATACAAGTTAAGATCTATCTTCAAAAAGTGCCGTATCAGTTCAGTATCATTGCCAATCAGCAATGATACCTATTCACACACATCCGTAGTATGTCGTCCGGTACTTTCAGTAAAATGAAGTTCATTGAAACCAAGATGACTTATTTTACTAATGATCAATTGGCCATTATTGCCAAATTATATAATTCTGGATAATTCCCTAGCAACCCGATTAATTTTCCCTCAATATCAAACAAAACTTGCAATAGAATACCGTCATCTCGTCAGTGAAATTCACAAACAAATCTTTGCCGAGTTAACTACACTCTAAAAATTTTTTTTTTAAATTTAAGCATTAAAAAAGGTAACCAATTTCCTCTCTTAATGTATGCAAATTGGCACACCGTGTTAATCAATTTTAATACTGCTTTTATCTTTTACTTACCATGTGCGTGGTGTAGAACAAATTTGAAATTTGGCCTTTGGGCCATTATTTTAATTATTTTAAAGTATATTAAATAA